TTCCCTCCGGGATCGTTCCAGTGAGGAATGTGGTGTTCTGTGGGAGAGAAGGAAAGAAATCCCGCTGGCCACTGTCAGCGATCATCCTGAGCCAGGACGGGGACTGCTGAGGCCCTGGCTGTCATGGTCAAGCCGCGGGGCTCGACATTGAGCCTCTGCTCCTTGTTGCGCGCACCTTACACGGATTATCATATTTATTCTTCACACCAATCAATCAGGACGGTGCATGTGACAAGTACAGAAACTGAGGCGTCGTGGAGTTAAACGTTGAACACCAGACATCCCCACGAATGGTGGCATTTGGAGGCAAGGCTGGGTGTGCCCTCTGCACGGTGGCACTCAGCCTCGGCTGCTGCATGCGGAGCGTGGGGGAAGGGCGGCCGTGGACCGACTAAGTCACCCCCCAGTGCAGAAGGCGGTGTTGGGCCCTCCAGGTCCCTCTGATGAGCGAAGGTGACACACCTGGGCCAGAGGCCACCTTTCCAGCCGTCTCAAGGAACAACCCGAGACCGGGTTACGTGAGCCATGTTACAATGGCGTGAAGTTTGCCTGCCCTCAGGTTGCTCTCTGCCCGTTTCCCTTGAAGGGCATGGGGAATTCGCTCCTGCCCGCGGGCCGGTGAGGGTCTGCCCACAGCCAGTCATGTCACCATCTCCAGAGCCCCCCTCTCTGCCCCTTCCAGAAAGAAACAGGCCTTGGAGCAATGATTCGTGTACTCCGTCCACAGAACCTTTCTCCGCGGCTGCACCTGCGCATGGTACCCAGGGATGACCTAGAGGCAGAAAGGGCAGCGTGTTTATTTTCCTTAGGCTTGTTGTTTGTTAGGGCTCCAGGGAGGATTTCAGGGGAGTGTGGGCAGGGAGCAGTCCCCTCTGACCCCGCCGAGGCTGGGCCGCAAGAGGCTCAGTGCTGAGCGCCCCTCTTCCAGATGTGGGGGCCGCAGCTGGGGCTGTACCTGTAATGGGACCAGCAGACAGATTTAGTTCTTCTTTCCTGAACCCTGAAACTGTACGGATCCTGTTTGTCCTCCTTTTTCACTGTGATGAGCAGGCTGGCCAGGTGCTGGTACAAGTTTCCCAAACCCCATGGTGCCCCAGGGAGAAGGGGTGCAGACAGCAGGCCAGGAAAAGCAGCCTGGCTCTGTGCACCAACAGAACCGATGGGATGAGCATGAGGTGCACAGAGACTCCAGGGAGCGAGCCCTACTCTGCTCTCCTGGGCCAGGATGAGTGTCTTTATTGGAACAGCCTCTGGAAGAAAGAGCAGTCCCACTTCCTATAAAATTACTGTTCAACCCATGTTTCACTTGCTCATGGGAAATTCTCGTGTTTTCTTCCCCCGCTTTCAGGAAGAAGCACATTGCCAAGTTGACCCCATCGTGCAGCATGGTTGCCTGAGAAGAGCTTCAGCAAGCACTGGGATACCTGGAGGAAGAGAGATGAAACCTTAGCCATCCTCCCAGGAAGAGAGTCCAAGATGGCAGCTCAACGGATCCGAGCTGCCAACTCCAGTGGCCTCCCTCGGTGCAAGTCCGAGGGGACCCTGATTGACCTGAGCGAAGGGTTTTCAGAAGCGAGCTTTAATGATGTCAAAGGTGAGCTCGCGGGGCACCTGGGTGGCTCAGTCTTTAAGCGTCTGCCTTTGGCTCAGGTCATGATCCCAGGGTCCTGGGATCGAGCCCTGTACTGGGCTTCCTGCTCAGTGGGGAGCCTGCTTCTCCCTCTCCTTCTGCTGCTCCCCCTGCTTGTGCGCACGCACTCTCTCGCGCTCTCTTTCTCTCTGTGTCAAATAAATAAATAAAATCTTAAAAAAAAAAAAAAAAAGAATATCTCCGAAAACAGGGCTTGGTGGACTAGCTTCGGGGCTGCCTGCTTTTGTCAGCGAAGTCACACCAGACTGAGCCCGTGCCCGTCGCTTCATAGGCCATCAGTGCTGCTTTCACCCCACACCGGCCGATTCAGGGCTTGCTACAGAGCCGAAACCTCTTCCCTGTCTAGCCCTGTGTCGAACAGGTTTGGTCACCTGGCTCAAATTCCCATTCCCTCCATGGGACTGCTGCTAGAGTCAGCCTCGTTTCGAATGGGATTTTCTGGGATTACCTGTGGGTGTTAGTGTGTGTGCGAAAATTAAAGAGGAAGCTACAGGGAAGGGAGCCGGAACCTCCTACAGGAAGCTGTCTACTGCTAGGACCCGGTGGCACCCAAAATGTGCCCTTAAAAAAATGCCTAAATGCCCCTTGGGTGGTGTGGCCGCTCTGTGACCGTTAAAACCCATACTGGCTGATCCAAGTGTGAGCAGAGCTGAAGTTAGTAAATGAAGGAGCCCCCGTCCCGGTGTTCACCGTGCTCCTCGCGATGGAGCCCCGGTCCTCGCCCAGTGCCCCTGGGGACAGAGCCGCTGTCATCGCTCCTGCCAGGGGTGACCCCAATCAGAAGCATGATTCTGGCGCGTTCTGCTGCCTAGAAAAGGAGGCCGCCTCTGGAACGTTCTCTCTGTGTGCGCTGGGAAGCCGTGGGCAAAAGCTGAGCAGGGACACAGAGGGACTGACCGTCCACCCTGAGGAGCAGGGGACTCCACCAGCCGCAGCGCATTCGGGGCTTCAGCCCCACCACACCACAAAAATTTAAATCCAGAATTCAACCAATGGCTCACATGTCCCCCTGCCATACATGGGGATGTAGGTGTATTTATATCTTCTGAAAGACGGATCTACTAAACATTGATTTTTTTTTAAACAATTTCACTTGAATGCATCAAAATTCAAGTGAAAACAGACCCTTTTCTGAAATACATAGAGTTGAAATGTTGCGTAATCCAGATCGGTTGTTTTGTTTGGTTCCATCCCTGATGTCGAGGAGTGAGTGCCTGCAGAACTTTTGCAAAGGCTTGCCTGCACCTCTGTCATCTCGAGGGATCCTGGACAGGCCGCCTGCAGGTGTGGGGGCTTCTCCATCACTCTCTCGGCTTAATCTGCAAACTGGGGTGAGCTCGGCACCTTCCTCGCGGGGGTTCTGAGGAGTGGATGAGCCCATGCCCGGCTCACAGTAAGTGCTCAATCGTAGTAGCTTATTCCAAAACACAACAAAACAAACCAGAACAGGACCGCGGGATCCTCAGGCTCCCTTCCAGCTAACCGTCGTTCCAGCTAGCTGCCAATCCTCGGACCCGGGACAGAACCAGATTGACCCATCACCCCTGTTGCAAATTGCAGAAATTGACCTGCTGGGGCGTCCAGCTAATGCATTCAGCAAATTGCCAAAAAAGCCACAATTCCTCCATCTTGTTAAGCTTCCCCAGTATAAACATGGACTATAGATGAGGCTACTCAGTCTCAGTAAGGGACCCAGCAGACCATAACTGCATGCAGCCAAGGCCACTCACCATCTTCACGGAATAGTGGACAGAGTTCTCACAAGGAGCTGCGTGTTTGGCTCAGTCAGGAAGGGGCTGGTGGGGTGGGTTTTTTTAGCACGTGCTCTTGGAGTCTTGGAGTGACAACAACAGGTGCTCGGATAGAGCTTAGAAGGACAGAAAGAACACCAGGTGACTTTTTCTGCTTCTAGCCTCTCTGGTCTTAGGCTCACCTGTCCGAGGGCCTGGGAAACCGACTCCAGGGTGCCTCTGAGGCCCACTTGTCCCACTGTTGGGGTGCAGTCTGAGACTGCTGGGCGACAGAGCCTTCGTGGACGGTGCCAGGCCCACGTGCACCCAGCAGCTATCATGAAAGTTGGGTGGCAAGCCTTTTGCATTTCACGGTGGGCAGACCCGGGGGCCTGCTGGTTTGTGCTAGCTGGTTTGATTTTGTTCCTTTAAGACCCCAGCCCGGGGTCTCACAGAATACATTGGACTGTTGTTGAGCTTTACGTTGGAAGCCTGCGTGATCCGGCCCCTTTCCTAGGAGGGAAGCAAGTCCCAAGGTGGCCACCTGCTGGCTCGGGGCCAGGTGGGCATTTGGGCCGGGCTCGGTCCCCTTGCCTCCTTCCTTCCCAGGGTGGTGGGCATTCCTTTCCCTCCTGAGTCTCTCCACAGTTGGGGACTCCTGTCCTGAAGACACACTAGAAAGTTTTTTCAGCTTTGGCAAGCGAGCAATCATTGACTCCAGGAAGTGTTCTTATGGGCTCTTGGGGTTCAGCCTTGGGCCTCTCCATTCTCCTTATCCTCCGCACGGGGTCCTCACCTTGTCCCCAAAACCTGAGAGCCCAGATGTCAGTGTGCGCCTCAGCCCCCATCTGAGTCCTTCTGCCCGTGGAGCTCTGCGCCCGGCCGATGCCCGCAGCACCTTACCTCAGCCCAGCTCCTGGTCCGGGCCCCTGAGCCCCGGACGCCCGGTCCATCTCAGCAAAGCATCACTATGTCCAGCAGCTCCAAGGGAGCGCGAACAGGGCCAGCAGGCAGCATCCGCCCTCACCCCGTGGGTCAGCATCCAGGGCTGCCGAGACGACGCTCCACGGACGGGGTGGCCCAGAACAACAGAGGCGTGTTCTCTGCCATTGCGGGAGGTGTTGGCAGGCAGCTTGCTCCTATAGCTCCAAGGGACGGTCTGGTCCTTGCCTCTGGCTCCCGGTTGCGCCGACAGTCCTTGGCACTCCTTGCCTTGTGGCTGCCTCACCCTGTCTCTGCCTCCGTCCTGACATGGGTTTCTTCCCTCTGTCTCTGTCTCTGTCCTTATAAAGACAGCCAGTCATTGGACGAGGGGCTGCCCTAGTCCACGATGACCTGGTTTTAACTAGTAACATCTGCAAAGACCCTATTTCCGAATATAGTCATTCAGAGTTTCCAGGTGGACATGACTTTGGGGAGAGAACACCGGCAAACCCAGTGCGCCCTGCAAAACTCATTGCTTTCCCTCCATCCTGTGGTGTCGGCCGTGCTGGAGTTCAGGGGGCACTCTCTAGGCCTTAGAACTTTCTGGGTAAAGAGCGCGTTGCCTCCGCATGAAACTCCAACGTGAAACCAGACCTGTCCTCTGACTGCCTCGTGCTCTGCTCCTTCCTCCTCAGGCCTTACTGAAAATGGACTGCCAGGGCCTGGTGGTTAGGCTCATCCAGGACTTCGTGCTCCTGACCACGGCGGTCGAGGTGGCGCAGCGCTGGAGGGAGCTGGCCGAGAAGCTCGCCAAGGTGTCCAGGCAGCAGATGGACGCGTACGAGTCTCCGCACCGGGACAGGAATGGGGTCGTGGACAGCGAGGTGAGCCTGGGCTCTGAGATTCCATCACAGTGCTGTCTACTTGACAGCGTGTGGTGGGGATGAGTGAGTTGATGTGAGAAAGCGTGCGCCCAGCACACAGTAGGCTCTCCCTGAGTGGGGCGAGTCTCCCCCTTCCCGGGACTGTTGGCTGCACGTCCCAAACTTCAGTGACCTTCCATCAGACGGAGCAGCGCATGAACGGAGCCCTTTGTGGCCACTTCTGCTCGGCCTCTGGCCAGGTCTGTGTTGGCTAAATACCTGGTATGTCGTGGAACTTCGGCCAGAGCCGGCTGGGTTCCTGCTCAGAGGTTCTTTGTAGTCTCACTGGTTGGCGGAGGTTGCTTTAAGCTTCCGGAAAGCTGGTTCGGGCCTGGGAGACCTAGGAAGGAGGAAATCCCAGAATAAGGGTGTCCTTTATTAATGCAACGAATTTCTAAAGAAATGGCCCACCTAGAAAGTGCTGCAGGGGTGTAGGGATTGTAAGGAGAGCAGTCCTTCCTGTTTGCTCAGGCACCCTCTGCTACCTGCTCTTGCACAAAACACCTTCTTCCCTCAGAAATGTGCTGGCTCTGGACAGAGTCCATTCCACCGGTTTCTCCGGGTTTGTCTCGCTCTCCACTGAGAAGCATAAATAATGAGCAAAGGGACTGCAGTTAATAGGCTCAAATAATATGATCAAATCTCTTACTGTCTCTAATCTTCTCTACCCCCCCTTTTATTTTGGGCGACTCCACCATGCAGGCCATGTGGAAACCCGCCTATGACTTTTTATTAACCTGGAGCCACCAGATCGGGGACAGCTACCGGGATGTCATCCAGGAACTACACATAGGCCTGGACAAGATGAAAAACCCCATCACCAAGCGCTGGAAACACCTCACGGGGACCCTGATCCTGGTGAACTCCCTGGACATTCTGAGAGCTGCCGCCTTCAGTCCCATGGACCACGACGACTTTGTGATTTGAGCGGGTACCCTGGCAGCTGCCACTGCTCTGGGCCACACGCCCTCCATCGGTCCCGGGTGCCCGTGCCGCCACGTGGAACCGGGGAGGGAGGAAGGGCCGCTGCTCACACACATCCGGGGTCCTTCGAGGGCCGGACCCACACCCGAGGACCAAGCACACACAATGCTCCACCACCCTCCTCCATCACGGGGGGGTTGGGGGAGGCCTGAAGGGGATTTCTACCGCAGGTCGTTGCCAATCAAATAGCTTTCTATTTGTTAGGTATAAATGTAAATTTAAAATCACTTTTTTTAAAGTATGGGGGGGCAGGCATATGAAAAAGGTGGTATCTCATTTTTTTTAATGGACCGTAAAGGTTAAAAACACACACACACAAAAAAAAACCACACCTTAATAGGGGAGGATGCTTTGAGGTTTTTATGTTCTAAGAGACCTTTTTAAATTATGTTACAGATGTATATATGTATTTAAAGGTCACTGGGGGCATTTGCGATTCCCAGCCACACTTTGCATTTCAACACTTAGCGCGCGGAGAGACGCTTGTTCAAGTGTTGGACCTCTTTTGCTCTCTGCTTGTGAAAAGGATAAATCAAATAGGAATGTGGTTTTTCGGTAGGTGAGTCCAGCTCTTGCCCATCCTTTCTGAGAGCATCCTAGCCCCTGCTGTCCCCTCTCGACTTCATTCTCTTCTGTACCTTTGCCTCGTGTTACAGTGAGTGATCAGCGACAGCACATGTGGACCGTCTTCGAGCTTTAGTGGGCAAAGTCAACTCCTACGTGAGCAAGCAGGTGCCCTCGAGATGAAAAGGCAGCTGGGAGCTGGCGTTCTTCACGGCCCCCACCTGTGTGCAGCCGGTCATTCCAGAGAACAGTGCCATTTGCCATGCGGTGGTTCCTGCAGCCTCCAGCCACCACTGTCCTGTTTCTCCCCGGGGGCGGGGAGGGGTGCCCTGTGCTACCGTGTGCACAGAGGTGCCCGCTGTGGCTGGTAACTCCCGCTTCATTCCATATGAAATCAACCCCTCTCCCTTCCTGCTAGGCCCCCAGGGCCTAGGAAATCGCACAGGGGACACCATCTTTTTTGTGTACGATAGAAAGATTATGCAAGCAGGATGAACGTTTTCCAAAAATGAAAATGTTTCCCACCTCAAGTCAGGGACTTGGCAGAGCGTTGCGTTGAGGACCTAACCATTGTAGATCGGCGTGGCTGTGTGTGGGCCCGCGTGCTGGGCTCCAGGATCACACTGCGGAGGTGGCAGCTCAGGAGGGAGGAAGGGGCAGGGCGGGAGAATTGTCTGGCAAATCAAGAGAGTTGATCCCCGGGAATGTGCCGGGACACGCAGCTTGCTCGTATGAAGTGATGTGGGGATTCCTGGACCGTGGGATACCTGGAACGCGTTCTCTAAATCTGCTGTCTTGAAACATGTTATGTTAATTACCTAGTGTAATCAGTGGTTGATCCCTATTGGGCTGAAACATTCTTATGTATCTATTGATTCAGATCCTGAAGACCAACTGGCTAGAAAAAAAAAAACACACACACACAGAAAAACACTATGTTTTTTATGCTGCAAGAAGCAGGACACACAATTCCCCACTCATCCCATGAAATAACCTTAAATTCCGCTTCTCATTTCCACCTTCATTCTTTCCAGAGATCATCTCTCGCCTTCTCCCCAAAGAAGAAGCAAAACCACTTGCACCTTAAACCGTGGATATTTTTCCTCAGGGGCTTTAAATAGTTTCCTATGCAACATGTCTTGTAGCACAAATTAAATTCTACAAAAGTTGCAGTAAATTTTATTTGGATATTTTAACCTATTAAGTGTGTGTGTCTGTTTTTCTGTACCCAACCAAACTTTAAATAAAACAATAAAACCTAGTGAAAGCATCTGTGAATAATGGCTCCCTCCCCCAAGAGCCACCGCTAGATGACAGTGTGACCACTGGTTTAGCAGATAACTTTTATTTTTTTACTGAATGTTCTGTAGTCCGGTCCAAGAAGCTCGGTTAAAATCTCCAGTTCTCAGGGCGCCTGGGTGACTCAGTTGGTTAGGCATCTAACTCTTGATTTTAGCTCAGGTCTTAATCTCACAGTTGTGAGTTCAGGCTCAATGTTGGGCTCCACCCTGGGCATGGAGTCTACTTAAAATAAAAAAATTTTAAAAAAAGGAAAAAAAATCTCCAGTTCTTTATCGATGTTAATTCTCATATTCAAAATAATAGTCATTTGCATATAAAATTATGGTGTTTGCAGGTGTTTTTTGAGGACCAAATATTCAGGAAAAGGATTTGGCTGCAAAAAAAGAAAAAAAAAAAACAATTTACCAAGAAGACGACAGTTTTGTCCATAATAAATTCCCGCCTTGGTCCTCACTTGACCGGCATGCGGTCATGTCACATGGGGCAGGTGCCACATCAAGCCCCCACCCCCTGTGTCACCTGGTACAGCAGCCAAGCCCAGGCTTGGTCCTGGGACCTTCCCTACAGTGGTCACCAGATCCCAGCACCTTGTAGTCTCCCAACCATTCCTACTGCCACGACAGAACAACCTTTGCCTTCTCTCCCTCTGCTCTCCTTACTCCTCTCAACACCCTAGCCCCCACCTCAGCCACCTGGCCCCTTTCCCCTCCCCGCCTCCCCAGACCACCTAGCCACTCTCCCCACTGTACGGTCTGCTCCGGGCTCACACTCGCCCTTGGCTGCACATCGCACACACCATCAGCGGCAGAGCTCCTGGGGCATCCCCCACACTCATACCTCGCTGCCTTTGAGCTGCTTCCCCACGCTGGAACACCTCTCCTTTCTCCATCAGCCACACTGAGCTCCTTGAGGTCATCGAGGGTCTGAACTCATCGCTGAGTCCCCAGAGCCTGGTGCCACAAATGTATTGTGGGAGGGAATTGACCACGACTGATAGAAACGCATCCCTGAATGCGGATAGCTTGGCTATTGGAGTGGCGAGAACGGGCTTTGTACTGGGTTTACAACCAATATAAAACCTATTCGGCCAGTGATGAGGGCATCAGACCCAGCTTAGTTTCGAAGCGTTGGAAGGGGAGAACATGGTAGTTGGAACTCAAGTATATAACAAAAGCAATTAATTTCCCTAAAATAGTTCTTTTCTGGGCATGAGGGAAACACTGTCAGTTTGGTCCATGATTTATGTTGTAATAAAATTCAGTTTTATGTAAAACAGATTGAAATGGCATCATCTGAAACAGTAACCTGAATTGGGGGGAAAAAAGAGACTGCTGCCAAGTGCCCAGGCTTTGCTTCACACCTGTAGTCTATGAAAGGTTTGCCCCAGTTAATCTTTGTGAGGACCTTGGTTTAAGAGAAGGAAAGCAGCTGGGGGGGGGGGGGACGGGGGCGGCAAATGCCCAGCTGGTGCAGTTGCCAATGTGAGCTCTGTCCACCCCCAGCTGTGCCCTCCCTCCGCATCAGAAGCAGAGAGAAACCCGACAGCACACAGGCCATTGTCTGAGAAGCAGGTGCCCGGGAGCGGGGCGTGCCTCTGAAGGCTGGGCCCCGGGGACAGGGCTGGGGGACCAGCCAGCCAGGTTGTCCCTCCACCCCTCACAGGCCTCTGCTGGAACGTGCGTGCGCAGTAGTTAAACCTTACAATTTGGGGTCCATTTCCCTAAAACCTCAAGTATTTAAAATATTTGCACTTAGCCCAAATTTTTCTTTTTAAAAAAAATTCGGCTTGATTGAGGTGTACTTGACCTAGAAACAAATGTCTTCCACTTTTAAGACCCAGGCATTTTTTTTTTTTTAAGATTTTATTTATTTATTTGACAGACAGCGAGAGAGGGAACACAGGCAGGGGGAGTGGGAGAGGGAGAAGCAGGCTTCCCGTGGAGCAGAGAACCCCATGCGGGACTAGATCCCAGGACCCTGAGATCAGGACCTGAGCTGTTATGTGTTTTTTGCCACATTTTTTTAAGTGAAGAAAGAACCCCTGTTGCTGGCAAGCCCAGCGTCCTGTTATGGAAACCAGGGAGAGGATCGGGGCGGGTACGGTGCAGCTTTAACTCCTTCTGTGTCATGGACCCCCTTGGCAGTTGAATAAAGCTGTAGAGTCCTTACAATTAAATAAATGCATAAAATAAGGAAACCAGGAGCTCACAAATGAAAGCAATTATATTTACATACAGTTAGCAAAAGGTTTTTTAATTGTCATGAGGTTATATATGCTATTTTATGCACTAGATAACAACCTAGTAGCAGGTCTCATCCACCATAAACTCACGGAATAGTGATGAGCATTGCGAGTATCTGAGATTGAGAAATCGCTGACAAAATCACAGGGATTTCTAATACAGGTCCCTTGCCTCCACGCATGCCCGGAGGAGATGCTAATGTTCGTTAGAGGTTAATGAAAATGAAGATGTAATCTTTTTTTTCCTTATTTAAAAAACAGGGAGCTCATCCTAAGGAAACTGAAATCAGATTTGCTTTGCCAGTTGCTTCGAAGGGTTTGCATGATGTTTTCTGCTCCAGCTTACCAAAATAGTGTTTTTAAAGCTTTGCTTCTCTGAGCCCATATACTACCTAACGAGGGAGACGGGGATCGGAGAAATGCACTGGTCATGTCTGAGACTTTTTAAATATCTGAAGTCATTTTTCTTAATTTCCCAATTCAGTATGGTTTGCTTTTTGGAAGAATATCTGTATACTCATGTCCTACGTATGCAACACAACTCTCTTTGTAATCTTCACTCCAGGGGGGTCAGCAAGAGACGGCCAGAACAGAGTGTGCATGCAGCGTAAGCCTCGTGAGATGTGGGCAGCTTGGCGGGAGGGCCGACCAGAGGGCTGGTCGTCCGGTGTGTGCCTGGAAGCCAGGCTTGCGCATACAGAGCATCAAAGGAGAGAAGAGACAGCTCCTGGCCCTCCAGGATCCGTATTCCAATAAGGAAGATGCAGACCTTTGAAACTGAAGGAAGATGGAAGCGTTTTCATCAAAGCAGACCAAGAGAGGATTTGAGAAGCCACAGTGCTTCTCCCCTCCCCTCTCCCCACACACCCACTCCCATTATATTGATCATTAATGAAGGCTTCTGATTCAAACCTTTCCATTTCTCTCAGGGGGTTTCTCTTTTAATCCTGGCCACCACCATGTCTCCCCCGGACCCACAACCCCATGCTGGTCCCCTCAAATCATCCTCCACATGGCCACCAAGACGGTCCTTCTAAAATAGAAACCCATGCCCCTTTCTGCTTAACGCCCACCTTCAGTGGCCCCCGGGTTTAAAGCAGATGAACGGGGGGGTGCCCCCACGCCCGCCCATGGGTCATTGTTGGCCCTGACGATGCTTCCACCTGTCCACTCAAAATGAGAGAAATAAGCACAGTGGACTGAGGATTTCCATTCAGCCAAACTTATGCAAATCAAATCATCGCTCCTGGTCCTGAGATTAAGCCCTCCATTCTTTTTTGGTGTTAAAATGTCCTTTATTTTGGTAACTGATAACAATAGTAAATTGTAGGAGTTGTGGTTCTAATGCCTGTCTTGGCAAAGTGAAATGTTGGCTGATGACCAAAAGCCATGCATTTTTTAAGGCTTGAAGTTTTGGACAAATAAGGGAGAAGCAACATGAGACTGTCTATTTCCTCGGCCCTTTGCCCTTGTGGCTGTTTTTCCTCGACCACCCTCCTCACTGTGGTAATAATGGCTTTATCACATTTTCTAGGTGCTCGGCATCTTGAGAACTCTTTCGCTATATCTGGAACCCAGACAACACAAATTCACAGCTTCTCTTGCAGCTAAATGCAGGCATGTGACTATTGGATCTCTGACTCAGAGACCAGCAACTTGCAGAAGGAAGCGAGGGGTGTGGTGGAACATTCGGGAGAGCAGTGGTCCTGGGTCCTTGACCCACCATGACATAAGTGGTACCATCCTCATCAGGCCTGTTCTGGACATCAGCGTGGAGCATGGCGAATGACTCAATTATCTTTTCATAATCCCCCTCCCAGAAGAATCGGCCAGGGCCAGTTCCTGTTGCTTGCAAACAAGCACCTGGGCTTCTGATGAATTTTATTCCTTCAGAGTTCTGCTCTGATCACCAGACTTCCCTGGGAGGTCTTCTTGGATGCACCAAGAAAAAACCCCACCTCTGTCTTCCAGCAGCCCTCCACCCTTACAGCAAATATAATCCGAGTCTTCCCGTGCATTTGCGAGTTGTGCCCCACAGACCATAAACTGAGTGAGGAAGATGCATGGTGCCCAACTCACAGTACGTTCAAGCTCACACTCAGTAAATTCTCGGGTGCATGGCTGGCTGAATGAAGAACTCCCAGGGTTCACTGCAGACCATCCAGGGGAAGGGAGACTAGCACTAGAGCCCGAATAGCTTTGTGTAATTGTAGGGATTTCTTTTTATCAAACAAATGCAAGTTTCATGGGGAGTCTATTCTGGATATTTTTCTACAAATTTTTATCTCTACTCGTTTTAGTTCACCAGTCTTCCCGCTGTAACATCACATGTGTTCATCACACTTGTTATTCCAAGTGTTAGCTTTATTGTTCGCACATCCGCGTCTTTCTCTACATTCCAAATGCAAAGTCATTTCACACCCAAGTTGTGGATGATCGCACCTAGGTGAGAATAGCAGACGTGGAGACACTTGGTGAACATCTATAGCTCCCGGGGAGCGGTCTTGTCAGGCCTCCCTGGACACCTGAGCAAGCAGGGGGCAGGTGGCCGGGCAAGCAGGGTGGTTGCCTGGCAATTTCAGCACTCCCAGGGCCATCCTCCTATAGAAGAGAAGGGATCTGGAGAAGTGACTCACTTTCATTTTGGACTCTGAGCCTGG